AGTTATGAAATAATAAGCAACTTAAATGTTTATATATTATAGGTATAAATAAAGTCATTTAACAATAAATTTTATAAAAAATTAATTTTTTATTTGAAAACTAAATTTATATGTAAGTGTTCGGGATATTGTTGTATAACACAAATACTAATGATCACGCTAATTGTTAAAGGGGTGCATATGAAATCCATAGAGTGCTTAAAAAAATGTAAATTAACAAAATTAATCACGAATAAGGCTGCAACGAAAACAATGTTACCTAGGATTTATTTTTGATGGCACAGATCTCTACACACCATAGATTTTTTTGTTTTTCAACAACGAATAAAATGCTGTTTGCTAAATTTTTACATCATAAACGCTGAAAAAATTATAGAGGGAAAAATTAAAAGTTTCGAAATTGATAAAATGTTTGCTACGCTTATTAGTTTTATTATAAGTATGTTATCCTTAGTGGCACACCTTTCATACTCATAGGTTACTCTCATCTATATAAAAAGCAACTTCAGTAAACATTTCAGGACCATCCGCTAAATGCTGAAAAAGTTATGTAGGAAAATATATCTTATTCTTTAAAATACAAGCAGTAAATTCCGCGTTTTTTCAATGAAATTAAAAATCTTAATCTTAAAGTCTTACAAACTATTTATTAATTAAAAAAATAGCCTGAGGACATTCTAATATACTGGAAAATAGTATATTTATTGAAAACAATTTCAAAAAATCATGTAGTAGTCGTCTGAAGGATATATATATATCTAATTATTCTCGACCGTACTGTGTTTAATATTATTTGTAGTCTCAGCAATTGGTCTGTATGAAATAAAACTCTATTTGTTATTTCTCAATATTTCGTCACGATTTTGTGACTTCTTCAGGAGAAAACTGTAAATTTATTATAATTATTATATGTAAACAAAATGAATATTTCTATACTTACAACTTAAGATTAAAAATTTAAATTTTGATAACATATCCAATTTAAATAAATGACATTTTTTTGATTTTATTTTATTTGGGAGTTATGGTAACCGCAATATTTTATAGAGTGAATTCCCATTGTACAATTTTCAGCGAATAAGTTTTAATAAACAATTACATATTGTGACAGTATTATCCATATAATAAGGTGCAAAAGTAGAATATTGAGAAAGAATCAGGAACATGGTAAATTGATCTATAAAATGTAATTGATGGTACGTAGTCAGTTATTGGTTTGATGTTGTTAGATACTGATATTAAGATCTATCATATCATATATTGTTTAGTATATTACAGTAGATATTACTTAAATGGTTGGTGTCTGTCTTATAATTGACAGATTCTGGAGTTTTATTAATGTGTACCATTTCAAGGAAAAGTCGATTTTTATAATTATCAATTTGTACCAAGATTTTTGCATTATTAAAGTCAAAGTTATGTCCTGTCTTTAAGTGGTGGTCCACTAAGGCACAAGAGTTTTTTCGTAAGTTACAGTCACTTTTGTGTTGAGTGACTCGTTGTTTTGACATTGACTGCAATTTATTCTATAAATTATATTACTCATTAGTGAATTTGGAGTTTTAACTTTTATTTTTGAGAACAATATAATATATAATAATTAATATAATTTATAGAATAAATTGCAGTCAATGTCAAAGTTGTTATATTGGACAAAGTCAACAGTGGCTTAAACAACGTGTCACTCAACACAAAAGTGACTGTAACTTACGAAAAAACTCTTGTGCCTTAGTGGACCACCAACCATTTAAGTAATATCTACTGTAATATACTAAACAATATATGATATGATAGATCTTAATATCAGTATCTAACAACATCAAACCAATAACTGACTACGTACCATCAATTACATTTTATAGATCAATTTACCATGTTCCTGATTCTTTCTCAATATTCTGCTTTTGCACCTTATTATATGGATAATACTGTCACAATATGTAATTGTTTATTAAAACTTATTCGCTGAAAATTGTACAATGGGAATTCACTCTATAAAATATTGCGGTTACCATAACTCCCAAATAAAATAAAATCAAAAAAATGTCATTTATTTAAATTGGATATGTTATCAAAATTTAAATTTTTAATCTTAAGTTGTAAGTATTGAAATATTCATTTTGTTTACATATAATAATTATAATAAATTTACAGTTTTCTCCTGAAGAAGTCACAAAATCGTGACGAAATATTAAGAAATAACAAATAGAGTTTTATTTCATACAGACCAATTGCTGAGACTACAAATAATATATATATATATATATATATATATATATATATATATATATATATATATATATATATATATATATATATATATATGTATATTATATATATATATATATATACATATATATATATATATATAATATATATATATATATATATATATATATATATATATATATATTATTAAAGTGCTTATTTTAAGAACGGCATAATTTTGCAAATTTGCAATTGCTTTCTGGAGTTTGCAATTAATATGCAAAAACTATTAAACCAATCCTAACGAAATATAGCACACATTTCAGTGGTATTGTAGAGTTTTCCTAATCGGAATATGAAAGCTAAATGTTATGTCTAAAGAGTCGAAAAATATTAAAGAAAAAACTCCATTTTTGCACTTTTTTCCAATTATTGCTATTTTTTTAACAGTAAACATTAAATTTTTAATTTCTGGCTAGTCAAATATAAAAAATTAAAAAACGGAAATTTCTTACTTTATATAGGTTTTTTATACGAGTAATATCTCTTGAGCTATAGGCGAAAATATTGGAGCAAAACGCAAACATTTCGATTTTTTTCAGATTTTCTTAAATAAAAAATTAAGCACAATATTTACGACTGGCACATATCGTGATTATTAATACAAGACACATCCTGAAGTGATTCCAGCAAAAAAATAGACTCTTATGGAAAATATCCAATTCAAACTACTATATGAAAGACTATACGCATAATACGGTTTTAGATAAAAGCTTCAAAATAATTTCAATTTTGCAATAACTGGTAAGTGAAATATCTTGAAATTTTTATGGCTGAATACATGTCATATTGTGCCTATTATCAAGCGAAATTAAGTTTTTTTTATGTTCAGAAAAGTTATTAATATTTTTTTATGTATTCATAAAAAAAAATTAAAAATTGTAAATATCCACAAGATACAGAGAAGTCCTACAGACTTAAAAAAATTAACCTACAGTAAACTGAGAGCTCATACGGAACATATAGGAGGATCAAATAATAAAAGATTGGGAGGATGTATAGAGAAAATAAACAAAAAACTAATATATAAACAGGTCAAGGAATTCGATAAAGTAATAAAAACATAAAAAAGCACTGTGTATAATATCATTAAATAAACACATTTTTGTCCATGGCATCCATCGAAAAAACAAAGACAATACACGAAAACATAACTCAAATAGCCATATGAAACGCTGAAGTTAGATAGACTATTTCGAGCTGCGGTTAATAAAGTTAGAATTGCCATGCTTGTTGTCAACATCCGTAACGGATACGCACCACAAGAAGAAGAAGAAGATAGATACTCGAGAAGGTATTAAAATGTGATTGATTATGTAGGTTTTACAATATTATTGAATACAAAATGCCAAAATGGAAGCTGAAGAAAGAACCAGGTGAATTAAAATAAAATATAAAAATTTATTTAATATATAAATCCCACTAAGATTTTAAAACAGATAAAGAAGTAGAACTGGCGATAAAAATATATAGCATAGCAATTAAACATTTTAGAGCCCATAGAAAATTTCACAATACAATAAAAATAAATTTAAAATTCACAATCACAGAAATGAAAAGAAAAATAACTGTATCTGAACAATAAAATCCAAATAAATGACAGAAGTAAATAAATACTGTTGTTTGTATAATAAGTAACAGCTTAAAAAATGATTATATACCAAAATAGAACATACAAAAGTACAAACATACAAGTTTATGTTCAGATTTACCCCATATAATTTACTATTTTTATTGAGAATAAGCCACAATTTTACTTTAACATAACCTTATTTTGACGTTTCGTTTTTCACTTAGGAAATCGTTGTATTTTGAGAAGGGAAATTGAAACGTCAAAATAAACTTTTAATTTAAAATTGTGACTTCCCAGGAGAAGTTGTAAATAATAAAACGTGCCACAAGAAAAAAACTTCAGAACAATATTAACCCATATAAAGTTGCAAAGAGAAAATATAAGTAAGAAATACAAGTGTAAAAAGTAATAAACGCGGATCTTAAATGCAAATTCGATGCACAAGTCAGACAAAAATATTTTCAAGAATAAATGGTAGATGAAATTTAAAAAGTGTTATTTAATTTACAATTAATCATCATAAGGAGACGGGTAGTCGAAGAATAGGAAGATAAACAAAAATAAGAGAATAAGTAAAAATAAAATAGGGTAAAATTTGTCAACAAGGAAAATATCTTCATATTTTAAAAAATTAAACAAAAGTATTATCAAAATCCTTGTGGTTAGATTTCTATTTCCACGCTGTATTGCAGAATTGTTCAAAAAATAAAAAAATGCAAATATGATTAAGCACTAGCCGTCCTGATGAGAATATCAAAACACTACAATCTTACTACTACTAAGTGTAACGAACTGCACGCTATCACACCCGACATGATTCTTGCAGACGTTGTTCTTGACTGGCCTAAAGAAGATCACTTTCAGCCGAATCCTAATAATTTAAAGCATAAACAGTTGATCTGACATAACAATTGAACTATTTCAAGGCAAGACCGTATCTTCACAGTGAAGAAGGCGCCGAAATGGAAATAGAAGGGGGCTGCCCCCCTGACCCTCTCTAGGGGGGTCAAGATGGATCGAGATGATCTGGTAGGGTGAAATAATTTTTCAAGTGATGGTTTCATAGCAAGGTTTTGGGATGAAAGTGAAATATTTTGTGTAAGAGCACCCACTATATGAAGATTTTAGTATAAAAGCTCCTGTGGTAGCAAATCTAATCAGATCACTTCTATTTCTCTTAGAGATAGTTACATATTATCTAATACATTTAGTTTTTCACTACAGTTTAGTGGTGCATTTTTACTTATTTTCAAATTTGTGTAGGATAAAAATCAAAATGAAGGTACGTTAAATTTTGGAAAACTTTATAAAGAAACAAAAAAGATTTACAAATCTTAAAAATAATCTTAAAAATAAAAATATACAAGAAAAAATATTGTTAACTCTAGTATTAGCTTTCCGTTATTAAATTTAATTTAGTTTAAAATTATACATTTAATTATTTTATCAGTTCATATTGATTTTAATATATTTTTATTGCATTTACTATTTCAATATTTTAATGAGCTATTATTTTTTTATATAGCTATAAATATATACATGCTGTATTAATACAACATTTAGTTAATTTTTAGCTTATTTTGTTACTCTAGGAATAACTGTTTTCCCCTACTCCCTCGTCTCTCTTTCTGAAATCCTCCGTTTTATTCTTGGTAGTCCTACTAATTATAAAATTTTTTGTTTTTTGTTTGAATGAGCAAACATTTTTTTAGTTTCATTGTCGCCATAAGTTGAATTATTGTTTATGTCAAGATAATATCTGTTGACAACCTTTAATGTTGAATTATTACACATCATCAATTAATACATCATCTGCTAACAAAATATCAATTCCATCATGGTCTATGCTTTTATTTTTTGTTGTTTGAGATACTTTAGTAAAATTTTCCTCCCTATTATAATATATTACTCCATATTCGCTAACGTTTGTCTTAAACTATTCTTATCTAATCAATTTATTAAGTCTTAGGACAATTAAATGGTAATAAAATATTACCTGAATACCAGCAAAGTGTAAATATGGATATTGTTTAATAAATATGTAACTTTTTCATATAAAATGTCTTATATTTAACATAATTTATTTAATCTCTGTGTCTTCTCATGGACTTTTCCCAGTGTATCATTTTGTGCTTAGATGTTTAATCTTATTAAGATAAAGACAGTTTACTATAAAGATAACAACCAATAACCTAAATGAAAATCTTTATTACCTTTTATCTAAATTAACCTATATCTAGCAATTTCTTCTCCTTCTTCTTCTTCTGGTACCAACTCCACTAATGAAAGTTTTGATAACCATTACAAATTCTTCTTTATTTTCTGCTTTTCGTAAAATCGTCTGTGTGTTTGACCCGATCCAATCTTGTTTTTTAGTCAGGATATTTGTCGTCTACCAAAACCCCTTTTTCTTCGAATTTACCCTTCATATTCTACTACAGCAACTCTTACTTATCATTTCGGATTAAGTACCCCACATATGCTGTCTTTCTCCTTTCAATGGTGGTCAAAAGTTCTCTGTCTCTTTCCATACTGAGCAACACAATTTCGTTCGTAGTATGATCGGTCCATGGTATTTTCAAAATTCTCCTAAAAAGCCACATCTTAAAAGCTTTTTAACTTTGTCATTAAGTCAAAATTAACAGTCCAAGCTTTGGCGCCATTAAGAAGAATAGAGTGGATATAATTTTTTACCATCCGATAACGGATTTAGATTTTCAGTAATCCAGACTCATAAGTACTTCATTTGTCCTTTTGTTTAATATCTTCATTTTTTATCTGGATCCCTCTGGATGACTTTACCCCTCTTGATAATCACGGTTTTTGTTGTTTTTATGTTTATTCTTAAACCAACCTGTCTTCAGTATCACAAATTGTGTTTAGTAGCTTCTGCAGGTCTTTCTCACTTTCAGCAATTATGTCTGTAGTCGGTATAATGAATGTTATCTGTATTTTCATCATTTATCTTGGTTCGTTCTGATTTTAAGAGCTTGTGTAGATAACTCTTCGAAATATATATTGAATAGTAATGGTGAAAATATACAGACTTGTCTCACTCGTCTACTTATCTACTGCACATTCTTGCTATTTCTTGTTGGTTTCAATAGATATTTCTCACAATGTTAATATCATTTTTGTTAAGTCTTTTTCGATTTAGACATTTCATGGGATTGTATGATTAACTTTGTCGAAAGACTTCTCATAGTCTATAAATGCGACGAAAAGATCTTTTTGTTGGTCTCGACATTTTTAGTAAGAGCTGTGAAACTGTACTGCTTAGTAAGAGCCTCCCATTGTTTTTGGCAAGACTGTCTTTAATAATAATGTAATAGTTTAATTTAATTAATTTCTAATAATTTGTCCGGGATATCCTTTATTTATTAATTTCCAACTTTTACACCTATCTGCTGTTTTCTATCGTAGTGCTTTTTATATTTTTAATCTACCCAATCTAACGATTTATCTCATTTTTTGTTTGTGATTTCTTTTTTTTTATTTTTTAATAGTTTTTCATAGTAAATTTCAGTAGTTTCTAGAATTTTTGTTGTTTTTTCTTTCAATAGCCATATCTAGGTACTTCTGACCTATATGTGATAATATTTCTCATTATTTTATTATAATTTTTTTGTAGATTGATATTTCTTTTTTATAATATCCCATTAAATAATATAATGCCTTTTCTTTCTTATGTATTTTGTTCTCCAGTTGCATCGTCCATGGTTTCGCTATATCAATGTTTCATTTCTAAGTAATTGTAGTCCATGTAGTGTTTTATTATTTGTACATTATTCGAGTATTATTATTTCTGTTGTTCTTCAATGAATATGTGCACAATCTTTTTCATATTTACTTGTATTTCTCCTTTATCGTATTGTCCAAAATTCTCTTATGAACTTAAAAGTGTTCATAGTTCATAGGCAAGTTTAGGATGTATAGACGCCTAAGATACAAGGGAAGAGAAACACAGGACGACGCAAAAGATCCTGGATAAGAAATTTCAGAGAGTGGTTCGGTTGCAGCTTATTAGAATTATTCAGAAGCGTGGCAAATAAAATTAAAATAGCGATGATGATTTCCAACCTCCGATAGGAGCAGGAACCTGAAGAAGAAGACGCTTTTCATTTGTGGCCATTTAATTAGACTACAGTACTATGCCTTCAATTATTATTTTAAGAATAATTTGAAGAATGTTTGCGATAGATAACATCCTTGTTTAACTCGTGTAGAACGACTTAGCTCTACATTTTTGTTTCAATTTTTTCCCACATTTATAAAGTGATAATATTCTCCCATATTTTCACAGCTCTATCCTTTCTTCTTGGTTTATATAGCAGCTATCAGGTATATTTCTTATATTTTCAGTTCAAGTACTAGTTCAATGATTATTTTACTTATTGCTTATATGTTTCGTCTACCGATTCTTCTTACCGCTTTTACTGTGTTTTCGTTTATTAAACTTCAAAATGTATCAAATTGGTTAATACTTAGTTTTTTATGTACATCTAAATTGCACAGTTACTAAACACATTCAAGCACCAAAGGAATTTTCGTTAGTAACAACCTTGTATCCGTAACGCAAAGGAAATAATATGAACATTTTTATGCTTTTACTAACTATTTCTAAAACCTTTTATTTGACTTCTCGACTTCCAAATCAGAATAGCGACGCAAATCCATTTGAACATGTCTTTCATTTAATTCTTTTAATTCATTAAGATTATGATAACTCTGTGTAGAGTTTACATTATTTTTTATCGTTTTGGATGTGTCGTCATAGTGTGACTGTAACTTATTTCCACACTTTTCTTTTCCTGCAGGTCAAACCTCCCCTTCTGGGTCTCTTTCTGCCAATTTGTTCGATTTTAGTTATATCTGGTGGTGATCTTCTCAAGTATATTCTCTATTCTAATCGGTTTGCTTTGATGTCTTTTACTTTTTTCCTCCTTTCGATGCTCGTCTTATATGATTATGTTTTTTTTTTTTTTTTCTTTCACAGTAACAAGTAAAACAGATTTAGACACATAAAGTTCCTTTTGGTCGAAACATCTTCCGATATTAATACTGTTCTGAAGCTTTTTTCTTATGACATTTAAAAATAATTATTATTTTAATGGAAATAAGTCACAATTGAAGGTTAAAGTAAGTCCAGTGACGTTTTAATTTCCACTTCGGAAATTTTGTTTTTTGTTGAAAACAAAAAACAACAGACAAAATTTGTTTAATTTATTAATGTTTGTATTTAAGAACGATTTCCAAAGTGGAAATTGAAACATCAATAAACTTACTTCAACCTTCAATTCTGGCTTATTCCCATTAAAATAGTAATTATCTTCTGATTTTGTTTTATAACTATCTATCATCATAAGTGGCTCGACAATCCTGCTCACAAAGAAGTCGCCACTCCGGTCGATTCCTGGCAACTTCCCTCCATCTTCTGACATTAGAATCTGTAGGTCTTCCTCCACATCATCAATTCATCTCTGGCGTGGTCATCCTTTGCTTCTTGTGCCCTCTGGTTTTGAAAATGTTAATTTCCTCGTGTATTCATGATCCAACATCCTAGCGATGTATCCAGTCCATCTAAGTCTCTACACTTTCAATGAATTTCACAATATCTGGATCGGTGTATAACTGATATAGCTCAAAGTTGTATCTTCGACGTCACAGCCCATTTTCAGTTACGGCCTTAAAAATCTTTCTAAGAATTTTTCTCTCAAAAATACCAAGAAGTCTTTCATCATTTTATTTTATAACTATTGATATGGTTAATTTGGAAATCGATTATTCCGAGAAATATTTTTTTATTTTGTATAATTCTCATTAGTCCTGTTTTAAATCATTGTCACTATTAAATTCCTTAGATCTACTTTTCCCTATATGTAGATGCCTTTTCTCTTTTCTTGTAGATGCTTTGTGCTATACTATTTAGTGTTTTTAATATAGCACACGTAACTCTCCCAAACTATCCCATATTTGTATATATGGGTTGTTATAATATTTATCATATTATATTTGTGCAATAAGAAAGTAAAATATTCTTTATATAATTTATTTACAGACCCGAAGAATCTCTAAGTATAAACAATCATTTTTTTATAATCACCGTAGATATATAGAGGGTTATCTAATTCGAACAATAGCCTCTTGTTTTGAATGAATTTTTACTCATTCCACAATTTACCGATATCGGTGACATTTATAAAATTTTCTCGATGTTGTTACAAATACCTCACTTAATGTCAATCAAGTTATGCAACCCAATCGAATAAAAAAATGCAAATTACATCTAATATTTAAACAATGTCCATTATTTATATCCATCCTTCATAAGTGTCACACCATATAGATCGATACGATTGGATAATTTCAATGGTTAACTAATTTTTGTATTAGCAAGATTTCTTGTGGTAATCTCCCGTTACTCTACGTTTTTTCATAATTTCATCATCATCATAGTAAAGCCTGTGCTAATGTCTATTTTGTCTATCTTTAAATGTTTAAAAATAAAATTAAGTCTTATGTTTACGAACTTTATACAAAGTATCTGCTGACATGAATTGTTCTAGTTCTTTAATCCATATATGTTTTGCAAACGTTCATTAATATATATATATATATATATATATATATATATATATATATATATATATATATATATATATATATATATATATATATATCTCGTAATGACATTACTCTTTTAAATTTTTAAAAACTAAGTCACGTTAAAATAATAATTCAAGATTGTTTGCCCTTTTTGCAAAAACTGATACGCTTCACTTCACAAAGTCACTGCCGTCACTAAGTAATAGTTTTATCGTTGTGGGACTTATTGCACAAATCATTGCTTAAGCAATTTGAAAAATCTAGAATGTGTCTTTCAACCTCTACTTTACTTTCATCACATGAGACGAACAAATCGATTTTTTGGTGTGTAATTACCCATTTTATTTCCAATCTAGTTTATGTTCATTACAAACGAAACAATATATTTTCGATTTCTTATATTTTCACCTAAAAACGATAATTTTGCAACTTTTATTTAATTTCTGTCGATAATTATTTGTCAGCTGTCTTCGATAAATCATAAAAAATACAATTGGAAAAATGTATGGTAAATAGTAGAGAGAAACTTCAAAGAATATTTATATGATCATCCATTAAATCAAAAAATAAAAAAATATACATGTTTTATTTCTATTGCATTACATTTTGGGATACATGTCTTTTGTAGCCTTTTCATGTCAGTTTTTCACGTTTTGAAAATTTTAGTTATTTTTCTGGGTTTACCTAATCCATACAGTCCCTACATTTAAACTTAATATTGTATCTGAACGAATAATCTATGCTGCAACAAAACCCAATGTTTGTTTTTTTAGTTAGCCTTTTTGTATCTAATGTTTCAGCTCTGCTTTAGACTATGAAGGTTATTATAAAGGTCCTACTCACGCTTTAATGTTTTGATATTATATTCTGTTTAGTGTTATTATCTTTTATAGTGTATATAGTGTATTATCTTTTAAATTATTTAGAGTAAAAACTTATAATCACTAACGATGCAACATTATTTTTATTATCTGCTAGCAATGTGTAAAAATAATTACTTAAAACTACATTCCTAAGACAGTTTATTTTTTATTAGTCACAGATTTTTTTAATGATATTTAATTGTAGTGTGTAATTAACAGTCAATGATGAATACCTTTTGCATAGTTCTTTCTCATTATGGACTTTAAAACGAGGACATTCTTAAAGTTAATAATCGATGAAAATTATTTAGTTCATAAATCTCAAAACCTCAGTCAACTAACTAGCCGTGTATAGCATGGAATGTAAATGTATTAACATGAAACATTCTTAGTGCTATCATTCCTTAAAAGATGAAAAACTATGCTATGTTAATAATCAGAATAATTAGTTGACTTTTTATTGATTGCATATGAGTAATATGTTATGTATGTGTATTTCTATTCACTAAGTGAGAAAGTAAGTTTTTCAAAATTTATTACATAGGTACTTCTTTCTTTAGCTAATCCTTTTGAAGATTTCACAACCGAGCGCAGGCTCTGAATGTATTTCAGTTTCTTATATTAATATCTAAGGTATTATCTTATATATAATAATATGATGGTAGCTTATTTGCCAGTTTAGCTCTATTAAGAATAGCTCTTTTGCCAATTTGGAGTTAATCATTTTATGACAATTTCTTAGTTTTGTCTTCTCCTTCTATTAATTGTCAAAAAAGTTGAAACGTTTGCTATCTTGTTTTTCTTTCGGTAAAGTAAATTTGGTTTGCTACACCCTAAATCATTTTTATGTAGCGTATTCTTATTTAGCTGGTACTTGTGTCTTTTGCTTATCAACCTTTACAATTTTATGCAAACTTATCTACCCTAAGATTTATGATTTCTTAAGAGTTTTAAAAGGGCTTACGGAATTCTTTTAAATCGGATCAGAAGTGATTTTCCAAACGATTTTGACAATATCTTTGTACTTGATAATCCAACCTCTAACTAAATATTGTATTTTTCCTATTGGTTGGTATTACTTAAAAAAAAATTCATCGCTACATTCTAAACTAATATCCCGTTTTATTTTCTAATACGGATTGACTAATCCTTTGCTAGGACCAAAGATAAGGGGCCTGCAAGGATGCACTGCAGAAGAGCGCTCATGTTTGGGTGGCGTCAAACTGAGCTTTTTTTTGCATAGTAATAGATTTTATTGGTAATTATATTTTGTTTAAAAAAACAAACAACTTTGCACTTCGAAATTCTTTCTATATTTTCTTGAAATTTCTTTTAAGCTGTTTAAAGGTTTTGTGTCAGCAGTTAGGGGCGTAAATGCATGATTTGTTGTAAAATTTTATATACAATTTAGTTTACCAGGAGCTTTGTCAATTTAGTATTCTATATGTTTAGTATTACAGAATAGTGTCAGTTTACTGTTCCGTTAAAAGAACATTATCTAGTGTTGCATTAAATTAACATAAAAAGATATACAATTAAATTATATCCTAGTACCGGAACAGTCTTATGTGATACAAAAAATGGGGTATTGTACATATTATTTATTTTAAACTTTTATATTTTTTAATATATTTAACTTTTTTAGAGTGTCTTGTTCAAATTCTTCAATTTCCATCTACCTTAGACTATGATTTTTCGATTCGTTTTAACACTTTTTTATGCCAACACTTATTGTTTCGTTAGAGACCATTATTTCCAATGTTGCATGCTTTTTACTCCGAATATCTTTCATATTTCTTAATTTAATAAATCTTTCCTAAGGTTCCAGATAATATTCCTTTGATCTTGCGTTTTTTAATATCGATAATGTAGGTAAATACTATCCGTATTTGTCATGTCATGTTTGTTTCTGCAGATCATACTTTGAAAGCCTGAACTCCAGGAGCTCCATTTCGGGGAGCAAGGGAATATCGCTTTGTCGTATTTTGTATTCAGATTCTTAATTTCAACTTTTGTTATTAAGCATTTGCAATATTTTCAAAATCCGCCTAGTAAAACCATAAATCATACGGTAATTGAAATAAAAACCAATTTAATGTCCAATAGTTAAAACACGATTAAGTTTTGTTTGGAAAATTGCAAAACTGGAGTAGATTCAATAGGTAAGGTAAATTTTGCACAATCGTTACCAAATATGGACTTGTAAAATGAGACCATCTGCAATTTAATAACTAATGAAAACGTATAAGATGGGTAATTATCATAAAATCTCGAGTAAATTGCCTTGCTGAACAAGATTTATTTTTATACGCGTGCAACGTAAGAGATGATATCTCTAAAGATCATATAAATAATAAAACTAGATCGAAAGTTTCATCGGTATTTGAAATATATAGTACGGTGTTCATGATTTTATTTTTAGTTAACGCACTTCTTTGTTTTTTCTTTCTCTTAATAGTAGACTTTATTAGATTTTTTTTTCTTTTAGACTCTTGTTATCAACTCATATCATAATTAGGTACCGCCAGTTATAAAAAATATATCTACACAATCTTTAATTATAGATTTATCATTGTTTGCTTATGTATAGTCACATCAATTTATATGCAAAATTACAATAAAAGAATTAACTATTATTAATACGTTTATTAATCTGACGATTTAAGAAGACTCAATAAAAACTGGATAAGAGCAGCGGCGCAAGATAGACGGGGTTGGAAACATGAGGAAGAGGCAATGTCCAACCCCCCCCCCCCCCCCCCCAAAGAACGTCTACTTAATTTATTTCTCTGTGTATATTAACATTTTGTTTCCAATTCATAAATATATATATATATATATATATATATATATATATATATATATTATATGTATATATGTATATTTACATACTAACCTAACCTAAGCTATGTGACGTTCTGTGATCGTACCACTTTAATATTTTCTCTTCTATATTAATATCTCGTTTTTGATAAATGTTATCTGTCTTATTTTCTCATTTCCATTCTCGTAACTTAACAGCCTTTTATCTCTGTTTACGTTATCTTATTGCTGCTTTTTGGTGAAATTTACAATGTTGCCCTTTATTTGTTTAATACTGCATACTCAAGGATATGGAATGGATTCATGGTGCTCAAGATATAATGCATTGGAATTATTTATGGAAGGCTTATATCCAGCAGTGGACTCAAATTGGCCGAGGATAATGATGATGACTCAAGAATATGATTGCTTCGGTTTACTACTTTTTCTATATGGTCATATCATGTTCTTTAAATACTTAACTAAAATCTCTTCTTTAATTATGTGCAATCTTCATCATTTAGGAGGAATATATTCAAGGATTATATTAACGACTTCGAGTGTTTTTGCTTCACGTATGAATTAATTCTTATTGCTATAATTTATTAGTTTTTGCTTGTTTTGTTACTTGACGATATTTGTGTATTGCATGGTTTTCTGTTACCTATTAATACCTTGGGTAAATCTACAGAATACTATTGACCTTTTCCCAACTTCGTTTCAGATTGCTCTAATCACCTTATCAGCCTTCGCCTTAGTCCTAGCCGAACCACCAGTACCAAGTAGCCAGTACCTGCCATCGAACACATATGGAGCGCCAAGGTTGTCGACTCCAGCCAGCACATATGGAGCGCCAGCGCAAACTGAAGCTATCCTGAAACCCAGCAGCAGTTACGGCCCACCAAGCAGTAGCTATGGCCCACCCAGCAATACTTACGGACCACCCAGCAACACCTATGGACCTCCTAGCAACACTTATGGCCCACCCAGCAATACTTATGGCCCACCTGGATATGGAGGTCGTGATGATCAATCAGTAAGTACAATTCCATTCTGTTTTTAATTTTGTACTATTTTATTATACCAGATTCTATTGTATATGTGTTGTTATCTGTTTATTTAAATTTACATTTTGTTTCTTTTGTAGTCTCTAGTATATACTGATAGTTTTGGGTATCGCCATTAAAATTGCTATTCGCTTTTTTAGAGTACTAGAAGTTGCTTTTTATTGACACACATTTATATTTGTTTTATTTATTACAGGAACCTGCCAACTACCAATTCTCTTACCACGTAGAAGACGCTGCCTCTGGAAATGACTTCGGCCACGAAGAACAAAGACAAGGAGACGTCGCCAAAGGAAAATATTTCGTCCTCCTTCCCGATGGTCGTCTCCAAACTGTTGAATACACTGCCGACACTGAAGGATACAAACCAAAGATCAGTTACGAGCAAGTTGGAGGATACCCATCCGGAGGCCCATCAGGATATCCTTCTGGGGCACCATCCAACGGTGGATACCAATATTAGAAATTTGAATAAGCATTAACGTTTTTTGTTTTTCTCCAGCTTTCGATATGAGCACTCAACGTATCGTAGTTTTTGACCATTTGTTTTTTTAATGCAGTTGAACTGGTACTAGTACCTCAGTCTACCACAAGAGATTTTTGTCTCCTATTGTATATAAAATCTAATAATTTCTATCTTTTCCAATTGTTTCTACGATTTGAACTCTTCACTTCATTGAAACTGCCTCCGAAATAAGCATATCTTTCTCTAATCCTGATCTTGATATTATTCGTAACTTTTAATATTATTTTAATTCAATGTAAATAACATACTATTTTCCAAATAACGCAGTAACTGTAAGTTTTCTGTCGACATATATGATTATTTTATTTAGTTTTTACCATAAATGTTATTTTATTGTATATACCAAAAATTTTAGATATTAAGGTATAAAATTAAAAGAAAATAATCACAATAGTGTCATGGCTAAGAACTTTAAATATTTTAAAAAGGGTATTAATTTTTTTGACTTTTTTTGACTAAGAATCTTTGATCTGTATATTCACCTTCTCTACGTATGTTCCCCAGCTTTTTCTTTATCTATGTTTTATAAATAAATTAGTAATTGAAATATTATTGTAGATGTATGTCCTTTTCATTTTGTAAGATTTTAAAATATAGAGTATACTGGTTCTTATGTAATAAAAAAGTTACCAAACATTTGTTAACTGTAGGAGACAGAAAATTTTTTAGCTTTAATATGACGTTTTATATACTGACAGCTTAACTGTGTGAATTGACAGGTCAGTGTAGGATATGATAAGGCCCGATATATGGATAATGTATTATGTTTAGGATTTTTTGTATAAGATCAGGTGTATTTGATCATTGTACATAAAAGTTTATATATATTTATTTTTGCCATATTTATATCAGTAGTTTGTAGAAGATGAAGTATATTTTTTATATTAAATACATTGAAATAAAATATTTGCAATGGAACAAATATTTTTGTTATTCTTTTTATTTTTACCAATAGTTCTTTAAATGCTATGCGCGAAAAAGTGGATAGTGAAGTTTAAGCTAGGATACATCTGAAGTGATTTTTCAAAACGAAATCATTGCAAATAGTCTACAAATGCTATATCTCTTTATTTTAGTTACTGTATATTGGGTCCTTCTAGTGTATTACACAATATAACGCCATTTAATTAGTCCATCTGTTTTGATAATATAAATATTTTACCAGTAGATTTGTTTTTAATCAAGTACCTGCAGCTTGGCAGCCCCAATAAAAACACAGTAAAGTTTATTAGCAGAAATATACTTTTCGAGAAAAACGCATTTAACTTCAAAAGTTTCTCCGTACTTAACTATAAACAGTGTTTAAGTGAAATATTTTTTATTTAACTGTAAATACGTTGCTGTTTGTACAAATTTGTAGTTTAACCAAGTTTCAGGCAGATACTGCGTTTTCCAGTTTATATGAGAATAAATTCATATTTAAAGAAAGTAGTACAAAAACAGTATATTATATTTAGAAAAACTTTTATTTTCAAAAAAAATCACATTATTGTTCTTAATAGTTAATCTTCTTCAAGACGTTATTACATTTAAAGAATAGTTATTTACAGAAGTATTTTCCCAAAAATATCTTCGATTTATCGGCATTACAGAAACTATAGCCATTACAATATTTTTTTTCTTCTAGAATTCTCCTAGTAAGTGGTTCCTATAAGTAGTGCTCATTTTTTTTGCAAAAAGTCAAGTTCCGTGTAGTTGTCGGTAAATTTTGTTTTGAGAAATAGTATTTTTGATCCTGTTTTAAATTTCATGTCTACAACCGAATTTATTTGAAACATTTTTAAGACATCGTCGTTTTTGTCTAGAGGCTCTTCTTTTTTCTGCCTTTCTTCTCATTTATATGATCTTTCGACCTCTAAAACTTCTATAGTTTATCCTGACAACATCTTTCAAATTATTAAAATCGTACACGTTCTCAACTTTATTATTATTTTTTTGTCAATATTTTCATGGATCCCATCTGCTGGCATATGGGTGTGTGTGTGTGTTAAGGGTAATTCCAGCAATAATCGACACAAGTCGGTGGGGTCACCCTCTTCGATTTGGCTGAAATTTTACACACATGTTGTAATAGACAAAAAAACATGATTGTCAAGACCTTAATATTCAAAATGGCGGCCGTGGTGCGCTATTGAAGTTTAACGCTTTTTATCAAGAGATATCTGTCGACGAGACTACTGACGCTAAGGGTCGGCAAATCGCGAATTTAATTATTGGAGTTTTAAACAGTTCAGTTGATGACTCCAACAAGTCGTATTTAATCAGCGTAAAATGTTTAGAAAAAACCAACTATGCAACAATTGCTCGATTTATTAATTAGTCTTTGACAAATTTCTTTTTACCGAATCAAGTACCTTCTGATTCCGCTTCCTACATGGTTAAAGCTGTTACTAGTATTAAGATTTTTTTTCCGAATTTGATTCATTGTAGATGCTTAGCGCATGGTTTAAACAGGGTGGCAGAGAAAGTTAGACTCGAGTTTCCAAATGTAAACACTTTAATCAATAATGTAAAGAAAGTATTTTTAAAAGCACCATTGCGAGTAGAAATATATAGGGAGATGCTTATATTGATATCAAAAATGTTATATCAAATCTTGATTCTATTGCTGTTCAGAAATGTCAAAATATTTTTAGTGAGAATTCTGTTTCGAATGAACTGTCCTATATAAAAGCAAATTTTGACATAATTGTAAACTCTATTACAAAACTAGAGAATCAAAAATTATTTTTAAATGATAGTATTTGCATTGTTGATTCTGTCAAAGAAAAAATAGTAAACCTTTCAAGGACAATTGGAAAAAAAAATTAGAGATAAATTTAGTGAAGTTTTAAACCGGAATAAAGGCTTTTCTTTATTGCCATCAATAAATAACATAATCAATGGAAGCTTTAATGAAGTTATTAATATGGATCCCTCGCTAGTGTCAAATTTTAGATTTACGCCAATTACATCCTGTGATGTTGAAAGATTTTTTTTTAATTTTTTTTTATTGAGTTAATGCCTCGACAACTATGATCATTGGCATGGTACAGTCAGGTACCTAGTGTAGTGTGTGTGTATGTGTAGAGTAATTGTCTTGATACTTAGCAAAGTCGACGTCATTGTCTTTGCTAAGAGACGCCAATTGTATCCGAACGTCTGCAGTCTCTCCGGTGAGTACCGATCGCACATGGATAAAAATTATTTTCATTCATTAATTTTTATTAAACGAAAATTTCCCTACCCAGATGGGATTCGAACTCACGACCTTTAGGTTTAAAGGTATTCGCTCTTACCACTGAGCCACAGAGGGCATATAAACACATATTAACTTATAAGGCATAACATTACTCTTGAAAATATTGAACATTTTATGATTATATACTGTAACAGCACGAACAAGGACATTTTCTTGTGAATTTTCATTTATATTATTTTATTAAATGTAGTAATAAATAAACACTCTCTAAGTTATACTATAATTTTATTTCTCACAAAGTCTTAAGCCCTAAAAATTAAAAAATATATTTTTTTAAAATACATATATAAATGCATATTGCATATAATAAAGGCATATTTGGTTACTTGTAAGTGCTTTTGCATTTATATTTATGCAAGGCGATGATTTGTGCAAACATACTTTTTACATTACCTAAAAACTGTAAAATGTTTTGGAAACATATTCTAAGAAACGTGTTCCCGATTAAAGTACATTGAAAAAAAAATTACCTACCTAAAATCTACAACGATACCAAAAAATAAATCAAGAAGATGGTGAAAAGTCGATACATTTATTTTATTGTAGATTAAACTACATATTCTTCTAAAGGTTACATTATAAATTTATTAGTAGGATCTATGCGGGAAGATGAACCTAGTAAATCTTATTTAATTCCATGTCGACAATTGGACAAAAGTTACCATTTAAGTATTTTAAGATTTGGTAACGAATGTTTTATGAATTTTTTTACTTGAAAAACAATTTACTTATGCTATCAGACGCCACCCCTCACATTGTTAAAGCTGGTCAACAAATTAAATTAATTTGTGCAAATTTAGTTCACCTAACTTGTTTAGAGCATGCATGTAACAGAGTAAGTGAACATATTAGATGTGAATTTACTGATATAAATGTACTAATAAGTAGCGTGAAAAAGTATTTGTCAAAAGTCCTTTACTTGTCCAGGAACAAATTACTGAATGTACCTTTACCTCCCGAACCAGTAATGGCTAAATGGGGACTTGGTTGGAAGCTGTCATTTTTTATACCGAATATTTCGTCGAAATTAAGGAATCCCTTTTATATTATAACGCAGAAGAGAGTGCTGCTATTATAAAGGTACAAAATATTGTTAAAACATCTTCATTGGTAAATCAACTAATTTTTATCAAGACTCCTTGTAGTTTTATAGTAAAAACCATTTTAGAAAAGCGAAACATGTCTTAAACAGATTCCGGAGAAATAGTTAAAAACTTTAAAGTAAATAGTTCAAAAGTTCCCGGTGAAATCGGCAATTTAGTTAAAAAAATTTAGTATTGGTATTTTCAATGAAAATTTTGAATTTTTAATTTTGTTATTGTTCTGAAGCTATTTTCTTGTGGCATTGTAAATTAATTACTATTAAACTGGGAATAAGCCACAATTAAAGATAACAATACGTTTATTGACGTTTCAATTTCCACTTCGGAAATCGTTCTCAAAATATAAACGTATTTTTATCTTTAATTGTGGCTTATTCCCAGTTTAATATTAATTAATTTAATTTTGTTGTTTTTTTTTTATTTTGGTCTAAAATTTTCGGCTCTAACAAGTTATTTTAAATATGCACCAGTACCTGTGTTGATGTTGAAAGGAGTTTTTCAAGTTATAAAAATATTTCATCAGATCAAATAAAGTGGTTCCTTGTAAATAATTTGGAAAAACACATTTTAGTTAATTAAAATAAGGTATAATAAGGTAAACCGACCTAATAACGGCCGAGTTAAGAAATATTTGACTTTAGACGTAAATATTAAGGAAGCGAAATAATAGAGAAAATTGATTTAATGTATATTTGATAATTTGAGGTTTTCTTTATCGAAATAATTAATAAGAAATAAAAAATGTTTTTTAATCGCTTAAAAGAATTATTTTTACTAAAATGCAAAAAACTTTAATTCCGGCCTATGTTGAAAAATTAGTGGTAATTTAGGCCCAATGGTGTAATTTATTTTAATATTTTATATTTTTATATTGCACTATCTATTATATCTATTATAATATTGCACTTTTTATTTGCACTATCCATCTCTTCTCTTTGTTTTTCTTCATTATCAATGTTTAGGTTTCATTTGACAGCTTTGGAATCTTTAATTTTTTCTGTTTTCTTGCTATCAGACTCTGCATTTTTCTTCGTAATGTTAGGTGATTTTATCTTTTCCTTCAAACTTTTGTGTTTTCCTTGCCTCTTTTTTTTTTCAGACCTTTGAGATATTTTTTGGGGAAATAAAGTGCGTTTTTAAATGGCGTTGAAAATTTTGGAGAGGTGATGATGTTAAAATATTATTCAGCAGAATTTATGAGAGATTGATTTTTAAAATATGTAACGATGTGCTGAACGTCCTATAGCAATAGCGTTCAACAGTTCGAACCATAGGAGTGTCGATAATCACGCATCCATTTCCACGACAAGACGACGAGGTGGGGTCCGGAGAGGCTATTTAAAGCGAGTGGCTGGCAGAGTTAAAGGGGGTTCTTGTGGCTAACGCTCTAGGCTCCCTGGCTCGCTAGTGCATTGAATCTGCGAGCCAACCCAGACAGAGACACTTCCGCAGTAAAGATTATGCTATGTCCTTAATCAAGCAAAACTCGGGGGTACAGTGGATTGAACTCTGGCTCAGAGTATAACGTGGATCTGCGCAATCGAATATTTTGATTGCGAGAGCGTTTGGCGC